GGTGCTCCATTCTTAGAACTTGATTCTTGGAATAGGTATCATCTGTAATATACACAAACTCTGATACTCCTGGGAGTTTATTTCTTCAAACTCTGAGGCTAACAGCATAGCAGCAGTGCCCATAATCTGATGTTTTCCTCTCAACACAGACAGGGATGAAAGGAACCTATTGATGTAGTTCACAGCCAAGTGCAGGGGTTCATTCTGTAGTTTATATTCTCCTGCTTCACCTAACCAGCCCACAGAGATAGCCTTCCTACTGTTGGTGATGTCTAGCTGTTTCTTCATGTGACCCACTTTAGGCTTACATTTAATCTCCATTTCCCTACGGTATGTGTAAATGTCCTCACAGTGGTCTGGGACTTCGTTAACACTCACTGGCTTTCATCTTCCAGTGCAACTGACATGTCCATAGTGTGTGGTGACTCAAAACATCCACTGGATAAGCAAGGTACCAGTGGTTTTCATGATTTGGGTAAAGTAATAGTTGAATTAAAGGCCAGGACATCTTCATATTCTGTATTTTCAGATTCACCTGGCCTCTTCTGCTTCATCCACATGAACAGTAAGTGAAAACTGTTTACTGTTTGCTTTCCAGGGAGGAACAACAACTTGCTCATCATTTACAGGAATATCCTGAAGAGGTGCAACTCTTCGCGTCTCGAGTCTTGCATCTTGGCCGCGGTGCTGAACCCAGATGGTTCCTGGTCTTCCGTACTGCCAGCCTGGCCTGGGTCCGGGGCTGCCGGGCGGGCAGCGCCATCTCTGGGTTGACATTCTCCTAGTCCTCTTGGGGTGCCATCTGCAGCAATGTTAGCAGCGCCTCGCCCGCCGCAGGGTGCAGAGGTGCCCATATCACTGCCCCAGAGGACGCGGCGGGATCGGCCTGCGGCACCAAGCAGCGTGCACGGGGTCCCGCCGACGTGCCGCCCAGGGACGCTCCGCTTTAGCGCCGCCCACTCCGGATCGCGGAGAACCCAGGAGGAGTGCCAGGCGCGGGTACCGCGGGGCGTGGAGGGCAGGGAGGTCCGGGACCAAGCGAGCAGCCCGCGCCCACAGCTCAGGCTATAAAACATGAATGAGCAAGTACCTTGCTTTCCTTGGAAAGTTACATGCCATTTCATTGCATAAACTTACTTGTTTATAGTTAACTTGCTAGTGTTGGAGAGAGAACCTCAGGCTCCGAAGGTTGTGCTAACGCCTAACAACCAGACTTAGATTTAATACCTGATTTAATTGCAGTTTCAACCTCTCCCAGAAACAGAATCTTAATCAACCAGTTTCGAGTTTTCTGGTCAAGCACTAGGAAAGTGATCTGTCACATTTGCCCTCTCCACCTCACCCTTCTCCCCGAAGGAACAAGAGCCATCCCCTTCCATTCAAAAGTTGCCCTGGTCTAAAATTAATTCATTAAACCCAACCCATTGGTTTTCTTTTACTAGTAACTCCCCTGCTACGCCGTTCTGCCTATCAGAATCTTCCATTTTGTACAACCCCTTGGAGTATCTCTCTGCTCGCTAGATGAGATGCTGCCTGATTGTTTAAAGCAATTAGATCTCCAATTTACTGGGTAGAATTGTGTTGTTTAACTCTAGGAAGCCATAAGGGCGAGCTGTAAGTATCCATGAAGAAACCCGTAGTGTAAGCACTAACACTTGTTTTTTCTTTTTTGTAATGCAAATGAATCATTAAGCTTTGATCGCTGAGGCATAAACTTTAAAGAAGCATCCATGTAAATGATGGCTCTATGGAATAAACACATTTCAAGCCACAAGACTAGATAAAGAGCCAGGCCGGCCTCTGGAACTGAGTCTCCTTTGCTTAAGAGACCTTGGGCTACTTGTTGTTTTTTGTTTGTTTGTTTGTTTTTCCTTTATGGTGCTTTAAATTTTTACTCTTAAGGTTTTAATTCACCAAACCAGAGTAAGCCCAGAAACCCTAGGCTCCCACCTTTGACACCAGTAAAAGCAGAACCCAGGCTTATGCATACTCTCTGCCTCTCTACCAGAGATCTGACTATGTGGCACCAGGTGTGCTGTGTAATTTCCAGGTCCTATAAATAATAAACCGTTATTTTTTTTCAAGTTTCCTGATGGTTATTGCAAAAGTGTGTCTTGCAGTCATAATACGAACAGCAAAGGCCAGTCCAACGACAACATTGGTTATTGATAGGATGAGATGGGGCACAGAACCTTAAGTTTTGTTCAAGATCAGAGTCAGCATTTTGGGGAAATCAGAACACACAGATGGTTACAATAATCACCCAATATTATGAGACAAACCTTTTCCAAGGGTAACACCAAGAATCTCAAAGTAACCACTAAGGAGCCTGTGATACCCCCGGCCCCTTTGGCTCTGCGGTTAGCATGTCAGCCCGCAGAATGAAGTGGGAGACAACCAGTCAATCTAACAACAATTTTTTCTGATATTCTTTTCCTTTCGTTTTGGTCTATTCTTCTCTGTAAGCTTTTAGGATTTTTTGCCTTTTATATTTTTAAATGTCACTAAAATGTGTTTGTGGGTTTCTACCTACCTCTCCTCTTTGACATTCCTTTTCATACTTAACTTTAATTTCTAAATTTGTCTTTTATTTCTCAATATTTTATCTTTTATTGTTTTTTCCTCCCCTGTCTGGAGCTTCTATTTCTGTTTTCCATATCTTTCAGATTTTCCTTTATATTGTCCTTCCCCATTTTTCTTCATTAGTAATTACAGCCACTTTTCTGATACCCCCTTCATGATTCTCCTCCCTGTGCCAGGTTATCCTAGATGGTCTGTGTGTGAAAATGACATAAACGTAGCCACTACAAAATGGAGCGAGAGCTGCCATGCTAGCGGAACTGCCTTGCATGTCTTGCTTCATCAACCACTGGACTGTTGGAACTGGGCCAGACCTTTGGGCTGGGCCAAACCAACATTGTCTTACAAACTATTATTTGTAAAGCCCAAGAATAGTGTACCTCCTGACCACAGGACTGATGATCATGAACTCTCTATCTGAAGATAGAATAAAAAAGCAACCGTGTATAGCTAAGAGTAGCTCTGCTTATCAGCACCACAGGAGTTCTTTCTTCCTTTCATGTAATTATTCCTTTCCTTCTCTCATGTAAACCCCTTGCCTTCACCCTGTACTTGAAATACCATGGGGTTTTGTTTGTTTGTTTGTTTGTTTGTTTGCCTGAAGCTGTTCTCCAGAATTGTATTTTTTAAAATCCCAAATAAATGCTTGTTGCCTCTCACTGTTTATTTTTTATTTTAGGTGAATACATACAAAGTGTTAGAATTACAGGGTAGAACCAGGAGTTCATAGTCATTCATTTGTCATTTACTGAGGAGAAGAAAGGGAGAAGTGCAGAACAAAGGAAGGGATTATTCTAGATGATCAGGGCCAGCGGGGGAGCAAGCAACTGTGGAAATCCAGAGGAAGAGTATTCCAAACAGAGGGAACAGCAGGTGCAAAGGCCCTAATGTGGAACTGAGCTTGGTGTATTTGAGAAAGAGCAGAGGTCCAGTGTACCTAGAATGAAATATACAGCTCTGACCTGCCCCTTGTAATTATGCCTGGAATGCATAGTTTGGAAGAAGCATCAGGATCCATAAATGGTATAGTGTGTGCCCCATACACAAAAAGCCAGCCACTGGCTGATATAGACTTCAGTTTATTAGGTGCTATTTACATCATCCAAGAAGATGTCTGGGAATGAGCTCAGTACTGGGCTTGAATATGTTACAATACCCTGAACCTCTGGATGCAGGTTAGAGACTCTATTCATCTTTGGCAAAAATCCAGAAACAACAGAAGGAGCAAGAAGTGGCACAATGTGAGGAAGAAAACAATTGCTTAGGAGACAGGTGAAGCCACTGTAGACAAAGAAAGATGTAAATTTGAACCTGAAGTCTGCCACTTACTCACTGTGCAACCTTATGCAAATTCCTAACCCCTCTGAACCTCAGTTTTCTTAACTTGGAATAGTAATAGTAGTTTCCTTACAAGATTGTTGTGAGTACATACTAAAATCATGTGAATTGTTTTACATAGTGCCTAGCAAATAACCACTCCATTATCAACTAGTAGACTTGATTGATCAGCTCTGTCACTTAGACAAGATAATTTCTTTGGCAAAACCTCAATTTTTCATCTGTAAAATGGGTGTGTTATTATCTATCTGTAAAAATTAAGGGTTGAGGTTGAGTACTACTTCTGACTCAAATGAACCGCCAAAGCCACTCCTGGGAGAGGCTGGCAGGTAAGGGGGGAAAACTACACACCTAAATACCATGCTTGTCTAGATGATCTGGCCAGATCGAACCTTCTGCTTTTTAACAAATATTTACATTTTTGGCATTTGGAATAAGGGTTGCACTTGGCTAATTATCTTCTCAAATCTTTCATCATTAGCAAATTGGAGGTGGTAATCTCTAATGTACAGGAGTGACGTGGAAGTTAGAGGAATGTTCATAAATTGCCTGGGGTAAGGTGGGGTACCATAGGGGTTGGGGATGGAAGTGGTGTCTGTTATTATTATTTAATATTTTTTGTTGTTGTTAAGAGTATTACAGATGTCCCCCATTTTCACCCCGTTAGCCCCCTCCACCGGATTCCTGCCTCACCCCCAGCTTTTGCCTGCACTACTTACTGTCTGTGTTCAGGGACTATGCATATATACATATACGTTCTTTGGCTAATCTCACCCGCCTCCCATCCCTGCATTCCCTGAGATCTGTCACTCTGTTCCATGCTGCCATGTCTTTGGACCTGTTTTGTTCTTTATTGTTGGCAAAAGCAAATCCCCCAGGCAAAGAACAAGGCTGATAGCCAGCTGGGGCTGTGAACAGCGCAGATACTCAGTCCCTCCCTCATTTCAACTTCCTTTGCCCTGAGCCTGCTTTTCCCTCTCTGCCCATCAGTTGGCGCCTTTGCCGTCCTTTTTTTTTTTTTTCCCAAACTGGCTTCGGGGGTTGCTGTTGCTCCGCAGCTCGCAGGCCACAGGGAGCTGCGCCGCGCGGGAGGAGGTGAGGCTAAGGCGCACCCCCAAACCGCGCTGCGACGCTTCTCCGGGGCTTCAGGGTCCGGCAGTGGCTCCTCCATGGGACTGAACTAGCCAGACTAGGCAACACCAGAGGCGGCCCTCTGCGTGCCCAGAGGACGGAGCTGACCACAGCCACCGGGTAGGTTTCCGCTGCGCAGGATTTTCCGGGTCTCGTTGGCATCGTGACCGAAGCGCCCACCCGGGGACACCGGACCGAGGGGACCGGGATTAGCGCGGCCGCAGCTGGCACGGTGAGCAGCTGCCGGGCTGGCGCAGCCTGGAGGGCCTGCGCCCCGGGTCGTGCGCTTTGGGTAGGCGGGCTTCGCTGGGGCCCAGTCCGTGGCGCCAGCCGCTTCCTTCCAGAAGACTGAGGGGACCCCGCAAGGGCGCCCCCTGTGCAGCCGGGGCCCGCGTCGGCTCAGGGGTGAGTCGCGGCGAGGGAGCCTCCCCACCCTTCGCCCTCTCAGGCTGCGCTGCAAGGCCGACAGGACAGCGCCAGCCCGGCGTGTGCGAGTCCAGGTAAGACCCCCGCCCCCGTCCCGCTCCTGCCCGCCTGGTGGGGTCGAGCCACCTAGGAGCAGGTCGCCTAATGGCCGCCCGCGCGGCGAGGGTCCGGGCGCGTCCTCCCCTCCGCCGGCCGGGCGCGCCTCTAGCGCCGCGGTGATGGGTGTCTGCGGGCGACCTCGCAGCCTGGGGGCCGGGAAAGGGCCCCCGGGCAAGGGAAGGCGCCCCTCCCAGGTCCCGGAGAGACTGGCCGAAGGTAAGCGGCGCGGCGATCGAGACCGTTAGCCTTGGCCTACGGATGGGGAAACTGAGGCCCAAGCCCAGCGGGCACTGCCCAAGGTCAGCGGCAGATGCAGGATCCGGACTCCGGTCTTCCGTTCCCACTCTCTTTCCTCGAGGGATCGCTAGGACCACGCCAGTTTGTCTCGCCCTCTCTGGCCTGGGCGCGGGTGTTGCCGGTGCCGCACTGCGCCCGCGATATTTTGGGGCGAGAGCTTCTACAGGGTGGGTGCGACTCCGACGTCCCCTGCTGTACCTTGTTCTCTGCTGGGCCGCAGGGCGGCTCCAGGGATCTCACTACGCAGACTTAACCAAACCCGCAGGTGTGTGTGCCTGCGTGTATTTCCCCAAGAGAACTAAGCCTTGTAAGGGAGAATAGTTTTCTTTTAGGGGTGCATTTCTAGAGTGCACTGTACCAGGTACTTTAGGAGGTGAGAAGAGACAACTATGTGTGTCTAACACCTAATGTTATTAAAATTATTAGAACTTTTCAAAGTAAAAGTTTATTTCAAAACATTCAGGAAACAAAAATGGAAAGGAGAACATAGGACAACTTCATCTTCTAGATTGTTGAAATTTTTCAGGATATGTTCAGATTTCCTCTGCATACACACAATTAACCCAGTAACGTGGACAAAAATAATATCTTGTTTTAATTTGCATGTCTGATTACCTAGGAGAAATCAACACATTTTCCGGTGTGTTTTGGCCTTTTGCATTTGTGTGGGTGAATTGACTTAATTTCTGTTCGTAATTTTTTATTTATTTATTTATTTTTATCCTCACCCTAGGATATTTTTCCATTTTTTGTACAGATAGAGTGGGAGGGAGAGAGAGGAAGGAGAGAGAGAGAGAAACATCGACGTGAAGGGACACATCGAGTGGCTGCCACCCGCACGACCGACCAGGGCCGGGGACAAACTGCAACCGAAGTACGTGCCCTTAGCGGGAACCGAACCCGGGTCTCTCTGGACCGCAGGCTGACGCTCTAACCGCTGAGCCAAACTGGCCAGGGCTGTTCGTAATTTTTAAGTACTCTTTATATATTACACATTAAAGTAGTAATTCTGTCATTTATGTTGCAATCTTTCCCAGTTTCCTTAATGTTTTTGTTTGTTTTTCATTTTTGACCATATATAATTTTTTTTTTAATCTTCACTCGAGGACATTTTTTCATTTTTTGTTCAGATAGAGCGGGAGGGAGAGAGAGGAAGAGAGCGAGAGAGAGAAACATCGACGTGAAAGGGACACATCGAGTGGCTGCCACCTGCACGACCCAACCAGGGCTGGGGACAAACTGCAACTGAGGTACATGCCCTTAGCGGGAACCGAACCCAGGTCTCTCTGGACCGCAGGTGGACGCTCTAACCGCTGAGCCAGGGCCATCTTTGATCATATATAAATTTCACTTTTTATTTAGTCAAATCTATTCTTTTTCTTTATGGTTTCTAACTGAGGACTTTGCTGAGAAAGGCTGTTCTTAACCCAAGTTTATATACATATTGTCCTGTAGTTTCTTCAGATACTTTAAAGCTTTTGTTTAAAAATTTTAATGTAGGATTTGTTATAGGTTGAGTTGTAAAGTGGAGAGCTAACTTACTTGTCCTAAATAAGGTTAGCCAGTTGTTGCAAAGCTCTTAAGTCTATTTTTTACCTCTGATTTAAATTACTACAATTATGATAGAATAAATTATTACATATTTGTATCTGTTCTGTGTATTTTAGTGCCAGTGCACCAAATTTTAATTACTAAAGCTTTATAATAGGTTTAATGTCTGGTTTGGCAGATTCTTATTATCCAGTATCATCATTTTCCTGGATTTAAAAAAATATCAATTTTATTAAGGTACAGTTTACATGCAATGAAATGCACAATTTAAGTTTATATTTTGATGAACTTTGTCAAATGTAACCACTATCACAAGCATTAAATTATGGAGTGCTCCATGAACTTGATGTCATCAGTGCACAGGGCCATGTTAATTTTCAATATATCCTTCCAATTTTAGCATATGTGCTACCAAAGTGAGCATTTCCCAGCAATTTCTGTTAGTACTAACTCCAGATGATCTTTAGAAAACTTTGGTTAGGGAACCAATCTCTCCCTGCTCCACCAAAACAAACAAAAGCATGTTTGTATGTCTACTTGGTTTTTGATAACAAGGGTCCTGAGAGTAGAGGCCTTGAATGTCACATTCACCCTCCCAAGGCCTGACACTGGACTCAGTATTTATTGAATGGAACATTTAATAATGGTTATAAAAGTAATATATATATGCTTTTTGCTTAAGTACAGAAAGCAAAACAGGAAACCTCCATTCCCCATACTTTCATCTCTCCTTCACTAAATTTTATTCCCCATGAAAGATAAAATGATCAGACTATGAACATTTTCCTACAATTTGCGTTGACATAGTTTGCATTTTTTTCTTAGAGACTTTTAAAATCTGCTCAGTTGCTGTAACAATTTACCACAGACTGGGTAGGTTAAACAATAAAAATTTCTCACGGTTGGTTCTGGAGGCTGGAAGTCTGAGATCAGGGTGTCAGTTTAGTTGGGTTCTGGTGAGAGCCCTCTTCCTGTTTCTATATGGCCACCTTCTCACTGTGTCCTCACTGGCGGGGCTAAGAGAGGAAGCAAGCCCTCTCCTCTCTCTTATAAGAGCACTGAGCGCAGCAGGAACGCTCCAGGGACAGGACTTAATTACCTCCCAAAGACCTGGTCTCCAAATACCATTGTGCTGGTAATTAGGGTTTTAATGTATGACTTTTGAGGAACACAAAGATTCAAGCCATAACGGAGACCTAGCTAAGATTCTTTTGTCAGTATATTTTCTCTCTTTTTAATGTACATTAATTGTGTAATTATCTTAAACACCTGTTTCCAGGCATTTTCTTGCTCTGCAGTTTGTCCTTTTTCTCCTTTTATATCCACCCCCCTCCCTTTCTTCTTATAAACAAAACTGCCCTGAACATTCCATGCCCCTTTTTGGTAACATGTGTGTGCATTTCTGCAGGTTAGATTTCTACAAGTAGAACTTCTGTGTCAAAGGGCATATACATAAAACATTTTTATAGATACCGGCCCAACTTTCCTTGCAGTTTATATGAAACATTTGTTGAACTGGGCCAGTTTCTCTTTAAATAAATTGAATTGACCTTATGTTAAATATGGAGATGAATTTTGATGAAATTCAAATTTCAGGAGTTTTCCATTAGTGAGTCTCTCCAGCCGGGAAAATGCTATTTTCCTCCATTTATTAAAGGCTTAAAAATGTCTTTCTTATAATATGTGTGCATATTCTGTCTATTTCTTAAATTTATTTCTATGTATTTTTGTTGTCCCCCTCATTTTGTCTGGTATTTTTTTATCCCATTCATTAATTTGATGATTGATTAGATAGAACTGATGTGTGTGTGTATTTATATATATAGATATAATATTCTTTTTACATGCTAATTTTGTTACTGCCCACATTCATAAAGTCTGTTGTCATTTCTAATTTTTTTAAAGCTGTTTTTCTTGGGTTCCAATCTATTGTATATTGGTTGAGAACATGGGTTCTGGAACCACTTTGCCTAGGTTCAAGTATGTTAACCTTGGGTGCAAGTTAATTATACCTTAGTTTTTTTTCAGGTACAAAAGGCTTAATAATATTAATTCTTACAGACTTCTTATGAGGATCAGTGAGGTGTTTAGAACAGTACCGGACACGTAAGTGCTTAGCAAACACTTACTGATGAGTTGATCTCTGCTCATTATGTGACCGGGCTCTTTGATACTCCCAGTTTCAAAGCTGAAGAACTGAGGCCCATAGAGGTCACGACTTTGACTACGGTCAGATACCGAGCCTCTTCGATTGTAGAGTACTGTGCTGCGTCTGTGAGGGATACCAAAGATAAATCAGACTGAATCACCAACAAGGAGTTTGTAAGTTCCTCGGGGCATAAGCCAAGGGCCACGGATAAAGCCATGGAAGGCAGCAAGCAGCAGGCGGAAAACTTGGGCTTTGTCATCTGTCCTGTGTTTGAATTTCCTGCTTGCAACTTGGTAGCATCTTTTTTCTTTTTCATCGAAATGGGATTAGTTCCATTGCTATTTGAGTTTTGTTTTGGTCAGAAGAAAGAGACCAGTACAGATTTTGGTAGTTGGAGCTTAATAAGTGGTAGCTCTAAATAGACACAGTCTAAAGGAGAAAGTGACAAATGAATGTCCTTGAGGGAAAATTCTGGTGAAGGGCCCCAGCACTTGAGAAAAAATTATTATTTCTGGTTGGGGGAGATCAGGGTTGGCTTTTGGAAGAGGTCCCTCTGAGCTGACTCTTGATGGTTGAGGTAGCCTGTGTGAGAAAAAATGGGTCTGAGTGATCCGTGGAACTGGATTGTGAAGAATCTTGGCGAAGATTTGGACTTTATTCCACAGTCATCGGGGAGTCATTGAACGGCTCTACAGAGTAAGAGTGCCCATTCAGACCGGTGCTGCAGTCTCGGATGGACAGGATGGATGCCCATACAGTGTGGGCGCCCATCCTGTAAAACACTGACATCACTTGTGGTGTCTTGTGTCTGACAAAGGGCTTTCACAGCTATTGTGTCATTTCATCTTTACAACACTTGTACAGATGACATATCTTTTGTTTTCCTATTTTGAGAGGCAAAACAGTCTCAGAGAGAGCAAATGATTTCTTTATACAAATTCACCTAATTAGCGAGTTGCTATTACCGGATTGCTCCAG